CTCTATTTATATATATATATATATATATATATATATATATATATATATATATATAAAATTAATCTTTGGATCAAAAAGGTCTTTTAAGCCCAGCACCAAAAACAGAACTGTGAAAAAAGGAACTGATATAAGTAACTTTGGAAGACAGTGCTCTCACTGGAAACTGTAAAGTTAAAGACAAATAGAACCATACACAAAAACTGTATTTTACAGACTTCCCTGGTGGCGCAGTGGTTAAGAATCCGCCTGCCAATGCACGGGACACGGGTTCGAGCCCTGGTCCAGGAAGATCCCACATGCCATGGAGCAGCTAAGCCTGTGCGCCACAACCACGGAGCCCACACTCTAGAGCCTGCATGCCACAACTACTGAGCCCACGTGCTGCAACTACTGAAGCCCGCACGCCTAGAGCCCGTGCTTCGCAACAAGGGAAGCCACCACAATGAGAAGCCCGCACACCGCAACAAAGAGTAGCCCTCACTTACCGCTACTACAGAAAAGCCCGCACACAGCAACAAAGACCCAACGCAGCCAAAATTTAATTAATTAATTAAAAAAACTGTACTTTATTTGATAAAGTTATTTCTCGGAGGGATATGGGTTAATTCTGAAACACTTTACATGTATACTGGGGTCAAACAAATAAGTAAATGAACGGTAGATGATGGGAGTCAAGCTTCTCACTTCGAGTGGGAAGCTACAGAAAAGCAAGGGCATGGAGGTTGGAATGATCCTGATGGTACTGAAATAGAGTCAGAGACATCACTGTGAACTCATATTTAGGTTTATATAGATACAGATTCAGAAGTAATTATATGTGAATGTGCGTACATATACCCATGCACACTGACACAAATAGTATTCCTAGCTCTGTTCACTAATAGAGACTAGAAGCAGTGACACCCCCAGTAGCAGTGAGTACACCAATGCCAAATCTTGGTTTCTAAATACCACAGTCCAATAGAAGGAAACAGGGATTCTTGGGGAGGTAGCTGATTCTAGGATTAGAGCAGGGAATCCAGAAGATTAGCCTAGAGCATGTTGTAGTGCTCAAAACAACAACAGCAAAAGGAAGGTGGGGGCATGTCAAAGGGACACAGAGGAGCCAACATGAAAGAATGAATGGCCAAAGCTAAAATAAACAACAAAATAAATAACGTAGTATTGGATTAGAACCCAAAGTATAAATATCCCTGAGTCCATACTGATATAAATAACCCCAGTCTAACAATCAGAAAAACACCAGACAGATTCAAATTGAGGAACATTCAACAAAATACATGACCAGTACTCCTCAAAACTCTCAATATATTGAAAAACAAGGAAAGACTGAAAAACTGTCACAGAGCAGAGGACAGTAAAGAGACAAGACAACTAAAAGTAATGGTATCTTGGATGGGATCCTGGATCAGAAAGAAAACGGTGGAAAAACTAATGAAATCCAAATAAAATGTGGTATTTAGGTAATAGTAATGTATCAGTGTTGGTATCTTGGTCATGACAACTGTACCATGGTAATATAAGATGTTAGCAATAGGAGAAACTAGGTGAGGGGCATATGGGAACTTCGTACTATCTCTGCAACTTTTCTGTAAATCTAAAATCATTCTAAAATAATGTGCCTTCTCAAAGGCCCATTTATTTATCTATCTTAAAATATAGATCTATACCTGTCACAGAGAAAGTTATTCTTTTTGACTTAATAAATGTCAAAAAAAATAACTTTTTTTAAAAGGCAATACTATAAGGAAAAGAATTTTCTTTACATATACATCTCACAAAGGTAAAACATTAATACATAAAATAACCTCAAACAATACTAAAAGGTAAAAACCAACTAGAAAAATATAGGCAACATAAAACACAAAAGGCTAATTAAAATATGAATGAAGAGCACTTAAACATAAATACCCCATATGAAAATAGGTAAAACCCAAACATTCGAAATCAATAACCAAAAATTAGAGATTAAGACAAATATATATATTAACCCTATAAAATTGGGCCTACACTCTCAAAACAACATGTGTTTTAATCATAATTGCAGCTGTTGGCCAGAGCTGGTAAAATGCCACTCTCATATTTTGCTGGTAGAAATGCAAATTGATACTTTTCAAGAGAGAATTTTAATATTATATTAAAAAATCATTTCAAATATGCATATGTTTTTAAATAAAAATGATAATGACGTCAGCCACGATGACAGTGATGATGTTTGCATCTAACATTTCTGAGCTTTTATGACATCTCAGACACTGGTCTAAGTGCTTTCCATACATAAACTATTACCGTCAAAGCACAGATTAAGAAACTGAGAGAGATAAATTAATTTGCCTAAGCATACACACCTAAGAAATAATAATTTGAACCCAAGGCAGTCTGACTCTAAAGCCAACGCTCCTAATCACCAAACTATACAGCCTCAGAATTATTCCACTTCTTGGAACTTAACCTAAAAAATAATCCAGGGGATTTAAATCATCCACATTCATCACAATACAATTTATAATAAAAAACTGTGAACAACCTAATTGTCTAACAACAGAGGATGCGTTAAAACAAATTATGAAATATCTGTTACAAAATACCATGTAATCATAATGTATTCTACAGCCTGACTTTAATATTGTTGGAAAATGTCCACTACATAGTGAGTGAAGGGAAAAGGTAGTTTATATACTGTAAATCAGGTGTTGTAAGTAATAATAATATTCATGCATGAAGAGAAAAGACAAAGAAGATATACTAAATTGTTAATGTAGTTCTCAATGGTGAGATTTCAGTGACTTTCTTCCTTCTTTGTGCTTTTTTGTACTTTTCAAATATTCTAAAATTAACACATCTGACACATTATCAGAAAAAAAGGTGTGTTTTATTAAGAATGAATTACAAAGCAAAGATGAGAACTCTATGAAAACACTGCAGTACAGTTAAAAGCTAAAGCTAAAAAACTAGGAAAAAAATCACTCTGACATGAATGTTATAAAGCATGAAAGAAAACCTAATATATTATAACTATGATAAATTGGGACCGCAAAAATCACAAAGTATAATAAATTGGAGGAGGGGAGATCAAATGCAATGTGAGTTAATTTCATCATTTTTCATAGCTCCTAAGAATAATGTTTCTGAAATTAAGAAAAAGAGACTCAAGCATACTTAAGTTTAGAATAAAAACATACTACATATCTTACAAATTATTTGAGACAGAATATCAACAACAAAAAATAGTAAAAAGAAGGAAATAAAAGATTAAATGAAAGCAGGACACATTAAAAACAGAAAATTTTAAATAAAATGACAATATTAATACCAAGCATCTAGTACAGTCATACATATAAATGGTCTAAAATAACATAGTAAGATATCCTTTGGACTGGGTGAATAGTAGTAACATTACTATTACACGAAGGCACACACACAATAACAGTGACTCATGACAGAAAGATATATAAGGCAGACACAATCTTTGTAAAACTAGGAGGAAGTTAAAGAAAAAGTATTAACTGGGATTAAAGGGGTCAAAGGTAGAGATTTAAAAATACAATTTAAAAAAGTATGAACTGGATGAAAACAATAACTATAAAATAATAGTTCAAGCCAAGATTGTGAGTCTTAATGAATTAAACGAAAACAAAAATAAAGCAAAACACAGTAAATATCAGAAGAAACTGATAAAAAAACAGTAGCAGGAAATTAAAGTCTCTCAGCATCTAGAAAATTAATAAACAAACAACTATATAATGTCAAAGTAGTGGTAAGGATTAATAGTACTATGAAGAAAAATAAAGCAAAGTAGAAGAGAAACAGACCTGAACAATATGAGGGAGCTAGCCATGTCATAATCTGAAAATTGAGCAGATGGATCACTAAACGCAAAGTTAAGGGGGCAAACAGTTACAATATGTTATGGTCTTGTGAATTTTTTTTTTTTCCTGTGGTACGTGGGCCTCTCACTGTTGTGGCCTCTCCCGTTGCGGAGCACAGGCTCCGGACACGCAGGCTCAGCGGCCATGTTTCACGGGCCCAGCCACTCCGCGGCATGTAGGATCTTCCCGGACCGGGGCACGAACCCATGTGCCCTGCATTGGCAGGCGGACTCTCAACCACTGCGCCACCAGGGAAGCCCGGTCTTGTGAATTTTGAAATGCCTATTAAACAGCCCATTAGAGATCCAGCAGTTGGATTATCTGAAGCTGAAATTCAAGGAAAATGCCAGAGCTGAAAAAAATATAGAGAAACATCAGTATATCAAATGCTAAAATATTTAGAGCTATGACACTGAGTGAAATGACTCAGGGGATAAAAGAGAGCTAGAAAAGAAGCTGAAGGACTGATTAAGCTCTGGGGGCCCATTATTTAGGGGGTCCAGAAGAGAAAGATCAAGCAAAGGAGACTGAGAAGGGCCAAAGGTGAAGAAGATGAAAACCTAGAAACTGTAGATGCCAACTGAAGAAAGTATTTTGAGAACAAATATGTGAAAACTATGTAAAATGCTGCTAAGAAGACAGGGTCTGGGAGGTATTCACCCTCATATGCCTAACTCGAAACTTAAATGCTGCCAAACAGAAAGTGCCTAATAAATATTTGATAGATATGAA